GCGACCAGTTAAATTTGACAGCACTGTGTATTTGCTGCATAAAAATTTGGTCTGATTTTCGCATTAGTCTGAACAAAATCAGCAAATGGGCTGAATAAAAATGCAAGTTCATTCTCTGACAGGAGGTGGTGCGTATGGAACAGCAAAAATACAGCGGTTACCATGGTTACCCCATTACACAAATCAGCTCTGCAAGAGCAACTTTCTGTGTCTACTTGATTATCACAGAGAAGAAAGGTACAAAACAGTATTTTTTAAAATACTAAAAAATAAAACAGTCAAAACAGTATTTTGTTTTTATTTACATGTTTGTTTGCAAGTATATATTTTTGCATTTGAATCTGGACTAAAACATACCAGAAAAGAGATGCTTCAATATTAAGTTTTCAGTGGATAAAATAAACTTCAAGACGTGTCACAAGTTATTCCCTAGCTCACTCAGCTCCTGCGGTTTTGTTTTGTTTTTTGGCCCCTTCACATCATTAACAGAGAACGACCAAGGTCAGGATTTTCGTTAAACAGTTATACAATTTTCAGCTTGTTTTTCACCAAACTATATCGTGTACCACCAGAACACCTGAAATATAGGCTACAGACTATTTTTTTCGAAAGCTTGATGCTGATCATTACCCACTGCCATTATATGGAGGAGCACGCGCGGACTTGTTTTTTTTCTTCCGAAAAACAAAGAAAGGTATACGGCATTAGAATAACACCAGGGTGTGTAAATGATGACTTAATTTTAATTTTGGGGTAAACTTTAAGCAGTATTTTACTTGACTAAAATAAGTTAATTCTGATGATATCACATGAAGCGTATTATAACTTCTACCTGATGAAAGAGTTACAGTGTACCAGTTGAATGTCCAGCCTGTAGAGGAGCCGTAAACCTCACAGATCAGAGTCACTGGATCTCCTTCAGTCAACCACTTCTGTGGAGAAACACTTAAAACTGCTGCAGCTGTATCTGAAATAGAGAAATCGCTCATTAAGCACATGTAAACATGCACTGGTTTGGGTGGTTTATGAGACACAAATTTGTATAATGACATGGGCAATGACATAAGTATTACAATGTGAAGGTGGTTTATGAGGACACTGCATGTGTCCCTGTAATTCAAAAGGCTTAAAAAAACATACTAAATGGTGTTTTATTTTTGTGGAAAATCTAAGACTGCACAAAGTGAGGGGTAGGTCTAGGTGTAGGGTTGGGGTTGGGTGATAGAAAATACAGTTTGAACACTATAAAAACCATTACGTCTATGGAGAGTCCCCGTAAACCACCAATACCAACATGTGTTTGTGTGTGTGTGAAGAGATGATAAAACTCACCTGATACTATCAGTGTAACTGCATCACTAATGTTTGATATGCATGATCCTTCTCTCTCTGCTCCATAACAGGAGTATTTACCTGCATCTGACTCAGTAACAGGACTGAATGTGTGTTCCTGTAGTTCACTGAAAGCATTAGCTGAACCATTTTTATACCAGCTGTACTGCCAGCTAGTGACTCCTTCACCATCAATGTCACATCTGAGAGTGACTGTCTCTCCTCTGAATACATGCTGATCAGGTTTAATGGTCACTTTGGGTTTTGGTATTTCTGTAAAAGGATGACAATACACAGTGAAAATAATGTGCTGTTTTTTACTGTACGAGTTACTTGATTTTGGACTACAACCTTTTATTTCAATATGAAAAAGTGCTGCAGAAATGTATCATGACTTCTGCATCATGAAATGCAGCAGCTTCTCACTGACTGCTCAACAAGGCTATAAATGGCTAATGGTTGTGAAAACCGAGAGGACAAGTAAAAAGAGTTAACATATCTTACAATGACTGATTAATTATTTTGTTCAATCTCAAGACTTCAGAGGTATGGACATATTTCATACACTGGAAATGTTTTAGATGTTTCTTGTCACACCTCAGAACTGTCATGTGAATAATTTGCCTTATTAAAAAGGTGTTTGTAATGCAACAAATGTAACGCTTATTGTATAAAAGGCCACCGGAAAAAAATACTTTTAATGTAGAACTTTTATTTTGATATTACACATTTACTTCCCATAAGAGGCAATGATATTATAGTTCATTGAGTACTGTTATATTTCACTGCTTGGTGAATCATTGTATAATACAGAGATCATCAGCTGTGTGCATATAAGTTTTTACCTGCCTGTCATTTGGATATCCATTGGCAATTTGGTCTCCAAAGTGTTAGTACATGACCACAAAGTATGGGCTTGTCCAAATAACCACACTTGTGGTCTTTGCACTTGACCACTTGACCACTTGTCTACCTACATGACATATTTCCTGAGTTTGGTCCAAGTGTTCAAGTGAGCGTGGAGACCACAAGTGTGTGTAGAACTTTTCATTATACCCAATGGCAGAGATGGGCACTCGAGTTAGTCCCCTTGTCCAAATACCCACACTTGCGGTCTTTGCACTTGACTACTTGACTACTTATATGACGTATTTCCTGTATTTGGTCCAAGTGTTCAAGTGAGCATGAAGACCACAAGTGTGTGTAGAACTTTTCATTACCCAATGGCAGAGATGGGCACTCGAGTCACATTTGAATAGACTTCAGACTCTACTCCAGACTCGACCTCAGATGACTTCAGACTTGGCTCAACTTGACAAGAAGGACTATTTAAATACAAATAGGAATATTTTAAACACACCTTGAGTCTTTTATCCTTAACTACTGATATCTAGGGATGGGCGTATCGATCCTGAAGTACCAATATAAAGAATACTGATGCAAGTATCTAAAGTATCGATACTCAAATAAAAAATATCGATACTAAGGTGTTTTATTTACCAGTGATTTTGTTTATTTAACAAAAATTAATGCGTACAATATGCATTAAATTGGATGAATAACCTATGTTAGTGAATAATTGTGTAGGATAGAACTAGTTTCCTGCTCATCTGAACACACGCAAATGCTGCAAGACAGAACCAATCAATCACAGAGAGCTTTCACTCACTTCTGACAGTGCATTCAAACAGGGCTGCGTTTCCCAAAAGTATCATAAGAAACCATTGATACTTTTGGGAACGGCAACCCAGAACAATGCTTATCAGAGGATAGAAAAAACATATATGTTTGCTTTATTTCACAATAAATACACTGAAATTGTAGCCTACATAGTTTGTGCAATTACATTTATTTAAATGTAACGTTAAAGTTCATATTGCTCATGTTCTATTCTGTAATGTTAGTATAAATCATACAAAAATGTTGCATTTAATGCATGCAACAGTCTGTCACTGGCAGTCCCTTATGAAAATGAACCATGGTTTTACTAAAGTGACCGTAGTTCAACTATAGTATTTGTAGATTTCCATGGTTATTACCACTGTAGTAAACATGTTATAACCATGTGTAAACAAACCTAACCTAATAACCTAATAAGTTGCAATTAAGGCATATTGAATGTTAAAATACATTTCAAATATAAAAGTTAAGTGGGTATCATTACCCGAAATGATCGAAAACAAAATAAGTGGTATCACCCATCCCTACTGATATCATAAAGAAAGAACTTGGAATTTACTTATGCTTTTATTATATCTGCGCCACGCATTTCGTTGTTGATGGAGATGGGACTCTTATTATAGTATTTGATGACGCATGTCCGCGTATTGCACGTACATTCCGAAATGTCAGAAGGGTATGAAACTTGGCGGGAGCCACCGTGTATATGTTCTCACATTTGGTTATATTAGTATGTCAGAATTAGAAACTTCATGAAGATTGGCTAGATGCAGTGAATGTGGGAAAACAATTAAAGATACCGAAATGACAGCATCAAGTCTTATAACATATCACATTTTAGAACGCATCCACAAAGGTTAGTAACATTAACTCCCATATGCTGAAGTGTGTCCTGTTAAAAACATGAACAAAAAAATCTAGCCTTAAACCTAGCACAACATTTTATCCAACTTTTCGTAATATACACAGATATGGCTTTTCTCTCTCTTAAAGGGGTCCTATGATGCGTTTTCAATTTGTCCTTTCTCTTTGGAGTGTTACAAGCTCTTGGTGCATAAAGAAGATCTGTAAAGTTGCAAAGACTAAAGTCTCAAATTCAAAGAGATATTCTTTATAAAAGTTAAGAGTCAGCCACACCTACCTAAAACGGCTCGTTCTAACACGCCCCCACATATCTACCTCACTATGTGGGAAGATTTGCATAACGCCGCCCAAATGTTCACGCAAAGAAAGAAGACGTAACTTTTATTCTCGCTGTAGTTTTGTTGTTTCCGGTGCCATGTCAAAAAGACGCTGTGTGCTTCGTTGTGAAAGCGAAACTACTTTGTTTGGTCTTCCAAAAGAGGACGATATCGTCATGCCTGGAGCTGATCCGTGCTGGTTGATGAGGAAATACTACAACTTTGCGCTGTCTATCGCCGGAGTGGCTTTTAACCGTGGACGAAGCGGAGTCCAGCCCGGAGTCGTCACATGTCCTTCCGGACGCTCCTTCGTCGAAATCACCGGCCGCGCCATTCTCAAGCCTGCGCCTCTGCTCACTCTAACCCTCCCACCGTTCCTCACGCTAGCCTCCGGCCTCTGCTCACTGTAGGCCGCCGCCGCTCACTCTAACCCTCCGGCCGTTCCTCACTCTGGATAATGTTAATCCAGTTAATATAATGTTAATACCGGATAATCCAGTTGCTGGATATTGGCAGGAACTGGAACACGCTGTCGTATACGCCGATCCAGAGCATCCCAAACATGCTCAATGGGTGACATGTCCCCATACACGCTGTCTGCCATCTGCCCTGTACAGTGAAAACCGGGATTCATCCGTGAAGAGAACACCTCTTGACTCACGGTATTTGTACTCTGCCCCTTTTGTTCTGACGCCTGATAGGACTGATGTTTGTGTTTGGACTCATTGCCTGCCTCTCCACTACTGTCTCTGCTTCTGCCCTTGTGTATGACGAACGATCTGCTTGCTTCTCTGACTTTGACCCTCTGCCTGATTATCGACTTGCCTTGACCTTTAATAAACTTCCGCTCATGGATTCTAACCAGACTCCAGCGTCTCTGTTACAGCCACTGACGATTCAAATGCGAGTTTTGAGCAGTGTAGAGTAGCACTTCTTGTTTGTCATTTCTCCGATCACAAATGTATAGACATTGCCTTACCCCACTCATATGGTATTAATTTATTTGTGCAGGTCTTAAAAAAGGTCTTAAAAAGTCTTAAATTTGAGCTTAAAAATCCTGCAGCAACCCTGAGACCGTTCTGCAGAGAGGCTCAAAAATAGAAAATAGCCTATTACTTCTAAATTGTAAACGTGTGTGTGTGTGTATGAAGAGATGATCATCAAACTCACCTGATACTGTCAGTGTAACTTCAGCACTGATGTAAAATTAAAAAATTAAATAAAGTTTGAAAATTAAACAATTTTCAAGTTCAACACTTTGTTCCATTCAGTTGTGGATGCTGCTGATTCACCGAGACCACCGTGGCTTAGCAAAGAGGCGCGTGTGTGTTTTCCTTTGAAACAGTTTCCCCTGAAATACCTCGCTATTTAATGCATTTTTCCTTACAAATTGTATTATCAGTGTAACAATTCGAGTAAATGTGTAAAAGGTATGGCATGATGCCATCCTTCTAGAACAATGTGCATTTATGTTAAAATTGTAACATAAATGATAAAGTTTAGTTATTCTTATTTCTTTATTGCAAAACGCTAAAACTGGCACCGTTTTGGAGAGAAATGGGCTCTCATGTTAACCCATATCATGGTGTGTGATGCTGAACAATGAGTTTGTAATGGTGTTTGTATTTGCACTGTTCTAAATATTAATATTTTATGTGCAACAACTGCATGCTGTCTCAGTGGCCTTACACGTTTTTAAATATATTTTTTTCAAACTTTATGATTTAAATGGGAATGATTGTACTGAGAATAACTTTCATCTTTTCTTCAACTGAATACTGTTTCTGTGCTGTTTTTGATGTATTTTAAAGAGTTGACAGTCAAAATTAAAACAGCTGGATGATATATTCTTCATTCTTTATGACAAACAAGATAATGTGAATTACAGAATGTACAACGTTTTTAAAATGTATAAATTGTGGCGTACAGCGTTTATTATGAGGGGGTAGAATCCACAGCTCAGTACTCACTACTCAATACTCATGAGTACTTATAAATAGGCTACTCTTTTACTCTTACTCAAGTAGTTTTTTGGACAAGTACTTTTACTCTACCCACACCAGTTTTTGGAAGGTAATGGTACTTTTACTTGAGTATATTTTTTCAGTACTCTTTCCACCACTGGTAACAGCGTAGAATCACCTTTTTTTTTAAATTAAATTTATGAATCAAATTCACTCACCTTCAGTGTTTCCAGAGTGGATTTTTGAAATCAGCACTAAAAACACAAAGAAAAACAGCCACTGCAAGTGTGAACATTGAGCTGATCAACTGTTATGTAATATTATTATTATTATATCATATTCTTCTTTACTTGTGAAACTTATACTTCCTTTATGCTGAAATGTTTTTCAGCTTGACAAGTTTTTTTTTTTCTTATTTCTCATGAGGTTTGTATTAGTTGTAAAGAGCTAGAGGCAGATTATTATCTGTTTAAAATATGATGTAACATTTTTTGAGGAACCTGAGAGTTTTCTGAAAACATTCAAGTATCTGAAAAAGCAGAGACATTTATTAAAATAATTTGTATTAAGATATTTTGTGGGGGACAGTATATGTGTTCCTTAAAACGTGACATATTTTATTAATTTTGCCATAGCAGAGATCTGTTCAGGGAACTTCAATCCAGATCACAAGCAGAAGACTAATTATATTTTATGTAGTATTTTTCTTCATGCACATTATTTAATGTGTACGGAAGGTCTATTGATATCACTGTACCTTGTATTATTAAAAATGCAGTGGAGCTCATAACTGGCAATTTATTTGAGCTTTGTAGTAAATGCATAAGCCTATTTATACATACATGTGATGTGACAGTTAATTTCGGATTCCAGTCCCTTAGCGAAGGTTGGATAAAAGTGTCTGTAAAATGCATAAATATAATGTCATTTAATTAAATATTACCAGGGGCGTAGATTACGTGGGGGACGTGTCCCCCCCCCCCCCCGCGCAGAAAGTCGTACCAAGATATTCCTAATATGGACAAAAGCGTCCGCTATCGCTGTATGAGAACAGTTGTTTTCACAAAAAAACAGAAATGTTTGGAAACATGAAGACATTAAACATACGATTGCGACAATATATGGT